TTCTCATTTCTTCAATCTCTCTAGATTTAGCCCTTCCTCAATCTCTTCCAATCTCCCTAGTCAGCGCTGCAAACCCTCTCGTTTACAGATTCTTCAACTCCACCTTGGATCATGACAATGCAGAGGTGGAATAACTGCCCTCAATAGCATAATCCTGTGACCCATGGCCCATATACCCTCCCCCTCTGTCTTCCATCACAACTTTTGACACATGTTTGATACTTCAGAAATGTGGGCCGATCCAGAAGAATGATCCTTCGCACAGTGGACTGCCCTGACTTTCTCTAGCTCGTACAAAATCATCATGCGAGTTACAAATTAGTTTTTATAAAATAATTTTTATTTAAACTCCAAAAAATTTACTCACATGAGCCGTTCTTAGAACTTCTCATCAACCAATACTGATGGTCAGCTTGATGTTGAATTGAGTTCTTGTATGCCAACTTCCAATAGTGTTGGCTCCCGACCAAGGTGCTATCTTTTCTTGAAAATTTTGATGCTGTAGTTATAATAACATAAATATATGTAAAGTTCAAAATGAAATGCAAGCAGAACTGCAATCATATAGAGTTGAAAATCAAAGGAAGAAGGAGCAAGAGGAGTAGCCATCTCTAGACAGTGAGGATATAACTGAGGATTAAATCTTTTTTATGTTTGATGATTGTATTTAGAACTTGTGATTGTAACCTTATTGAATTTAGAACTTGGTGAACTTGTTTTATGTTTGATGAACTTATTTAGAACTTTTTAATGTTTGATTGTAAACTTGTTTATTTAATTTGTGGTTATGTATATAATTGTGATGAATATAACGGCGTGTTGCCCAAAATATCTTATTATGTATTGCTATTTCTGCAGGTTTAGAATTTAGGATGAACCTCCCTCAAATAAAGGGAATGCTGTCAATTTTTTTTTTCAGGTGCTACAGGTTTCCAGCGGCCAACCGACGGTTTGGCCGCCGGTAACTACGATACTGGACGGCTTAAGTTATGCCGCCGGTAATTCCCTTAAACCGCCGGTACTATACCGGCGGTTACCGACGGCTACCGGCGGTTATCCGGTGAAAGCCCGCCGGTAATATCGTCGGCGTTAACCGCCGGGCGCCGTCGGTAAAATAACCGGCAGTTTACCGACGCTAGCCGGCGGTTAAGCGAACACACGAAGGCCTCTTTAACCGCCGGCATACCGTCGATAAAGTGGTCGTCGGTTAGCCGTCGTTAATATAACCGGCGGCTCAACGGCCGTAAAACCGCCGGTTACAAATCCGGTAGTCACCGGTGATATACGCCGTCGGAAAACCGCCGCCTAACAGAACCGTCGGTACTAAGCCGCCGGTAAAAGTTTCCTACGCCAATTATATCGGCGGCGTAAAAACCGCCGAGAAACCGCCGGTAAAATTTAAAACCGTCGGTTTTTGGTGTTTTTCCTGTAGTGCGGACTAGCATCTTCTCTCATTTACTTTTATCCTGCTTCTCTTCATTCTCCCAAATGTCATCCAGCACAAGTAAGAACTTTTTGAACATTATCTCAGTCTGAAGACTATCTTGAAGTGACTCAAGTGTCTCCAAACGAGACCTCTCCTTCTTAAGAGATTCCAACATATCTGCAATGACTTTTTTCACATCAAATTTGTTGGAAACACAAAGCCACATTTTAAGAACAAATTCCTTTGTCAATTCATCTTCATATACATGTTGCAAGAGAGTTGTCTTTCCCATGCCACCATGGCCTACTATAGATAGAAGAGAAATGTTTCTGTACCTAGTTGTCCGAGGCTCATTTGATGGTTTTCTCAGCCACTGCATAACAAACTCCTTAGCCTCGCCTCTACCGATGAGATCATTCGAAGGCAAGGATCCTGTTTACGCTATCTAGAAGATGAAGAAAAGTACTAACCCCAGCTGAAACTTTATCTAGTTTCTTCACAACCTCCTCCAACCTCTTCAAGTTGGGATCAATCTTGAGAGCACGTTCGCCTACTTTGCGAGCACTTTCAATCAGGAAAAACGCCGTTCTTTTCTGATAAAATTAGAGAGAAATATATTATGCCCTAAATATATTTATTTGCAACCAGTATCAAATAGGTAGCTGATGATAATGAACGCACCTCTGTTTCCTCCATGTTTTTGGTCAGCTGTTGTTTATGCTTCATGTACTCAAACTCATCGAGCACATCATCTGCCTCATCAACAGCATCTCGCAGCAGCCAGATCCAATTGTTGAGAGCCGGGTTCTGATCGCTAATTTGTGCTTGGTTAGCGGCAAAGACGACAGCTTGGATCTTGGGGTGGTTTTCTCGCAGGCTTTCCAGCTCCTTCTTCATGCCGGTCTGCCATCCGACTTGCTCTTCCAGGTAATCAGAGCAAGCGTTGATGATCGATCTTGTCCATGATTGGACCAACAAACCATTCCGCCATGGCACCGATGATCAAGGTAGAGAGAGCAGAACAACTGAACAGTAAGGGAAACAGAGATTGATTGGAAGAGATGAAGATAAGAGTAGATACTCTAATAATTGAGAGAGAGAGAGAGAGAGAGAGAGCTGCGCGTAGTTGGTAAGCCTGACTGAAAAAATGAAATTTTAAAATAAATGAGAAGTTTGATTTTTTTATGGGAATATCATTTTATTTTTTATTATATATAAAGTAAGAAAAAAAAATGATTTTTTATCTTCTTGTGATGAATAATTTGATACTAATTTATATTTTTATATAATATAATTGAATAAATTTCAATAAAATTTTGAACTTTTTAAAATGAGTTAGATGTGCAGATTTAAACTTTTTTTAATATATTTAAATTATTAATTTCAAATACATAATTAATTAAGTTTTTTCTTGAACTCAAGAAGAAAATTTGGAGATAATTAAGCAAACTTTCAAATCCACCCTCAATCAAAAAAGAGAATCTTCTTACTTTTCTTACAATAGCTCCAAAAGAACATCATGTAAAGAAAGAGCCTTGTCTGCCACTTATTACATATATATATATATATAATTTTTAAATTTAAAATTAATTCTCCATTATAAAATTCACATCTTCACATGTGAAATTAAAATTGAGCATGATAGCAATAAAAGGTTCCTCTAACTTTCTGCACATCATAAAAAAACAAGAATATTATTTTTCTCATTGATGATCACTTAATTGGAAATCTTAATTCATTGTGATTAATGACAATTAATGATGCTTGTAGACTATAAAGCATTACATATTATAAACAATTATTATTATTTTACTTTAATGCCACCAATTCATTTGACTTTAATGACATAAATTGATTACTCTTCAATCTAATCTATGCTCATAAATCTTAATTAGCCCCAAATAAATCTCCCCACCAAGTTTTGAAAACTGGATTGGACCAGCCGGTGCGACCGGTTCAACCGTGAACCGGTTCGGCGGGCAGTCCGGGAAGAGTAAGGAACCGACTGATTTTATAACTAGGTAAAAAACGCTTGAAACCCCGATTGAACCGGTTAACCGCCGAACCGTGAAGTTTAGGAAAAATTGGCTGGTCCATAAAAGCTCTAATTTGAGCCCTTGATCTGTGATCGAATGGCGTAGATACATTGGGTATCGGTATGTATAAGGCATAGTCGCTCATCTGCCCTAGCAAATGCAATGACTCGTACGCGACACTTCTAGTTCTTCTCCAGTTCTCCCTCTGTTCATCCAAAAGTTGTCATCCAACCTCCCAGCCGCCGGTGAACACCATACACTACTCTAATACGCGACTCCACAGTGACCGTGCCAGTTAAGTTGGGGAAGAAGTCACGTTTGGCCGCCTACCCGACCCGTCAAGCTCAGACGATCCCGACGTAGGTTCTAGAATTTGAGAATTTCTATTTTTTTGAGTAAATTTTTACACATTTAAGCTTGCATTTCTTCTCCATCTATGCTTGGTTGCTTGCTATAATGGATGAGATATACCGATTAAGGCATTCGCTACCTCATGAGGCAACCTGTGCAGACATCATGATTTTAGATTTTTATGATTTTAGACTTTAGCTGAGAGATTATAATTGAAACTTGTTCTCTATTTTTCTTGGAAGTATTAGAAAATCATTCTTGTTGTCGGTGACTGGATGTAAAACCCTCCAAATTTTAAGATTTTTGTTGCAGTTAGTCTGTACGAATTGAACAAGTTCAGGATAGTCTGTATGAACCATCTGTATGAACTGAATAAGTTCAGGTTAGTCTATATGAACCGTCTGTATGAACGTCAGTTCATCTGTACGAAACGTTAGTTCGTCTGTACGAACTGAACAAATTTTTTTGACAGAGCCGATCGTCCCGGGATGAACAAAAAATATTGTTCGTACAATCTGTGTACAGAGCCGATCATTCCGGTACAAACGTAAATATCATCAGTACGAACGAAAATATATTTTTCTCTATTTAAGGATTGTTTGACATGTTTTGAAGAGAGAGAGAGAAGCTGGAGAGAGAAAGAGAAGGAAAGAGAAAGGAAAAATTTGATTTCGGAGGCCGCGGAGCGATTTTCGTCTGTCGACGCAGTTGGAAGAATTGTTTGTCTCGCAATAAGAAATCCAAATCCTATTTTTGATTTGGAAGATTTAGTGTTTTGGTATTTTTCTGCTCAATTTTGTGTTTCCGTTATCGATAAACGTGCTTATCTTTGTATTGACGAAACTTTCACCGCTTAACTTTTTGTATGTTATAAAGAATATGATTTTGCACATTTTGAATATTTTCTAGATATTTTTCACCGAGTATTCTGAATTCTGTTGGATTTTCATTGAATAGAAAATTATCTGAATGTTGAAAAATAATGCTACAGTATAATAAATGTTTTGAAACGTTGTTTTACATGATCTCTAGTAATTTGGTAATTTTTTAAAACTGTGCATTTTATAACGACTTCTGTCTACTATACAATATTTTAAGTTTTCTAAATTGAGATTAATCATGTAATTGATTACAATGCGTTGATGAGATGATAATGAATGTGGTTATATTTTTGAAATTATTGTTAATTATTGTGATACTACTCTGTGTATCAAAGACAAGTAAATACTGGTTGAACCATTGGTTGGAGACTGATTAATATGCACAAGATAGTGGGCCGATGGGCTTTCCTTTAAATATGATTTGGTGTTATCCTCTACTGATCACGTGATTACTGATGGGAGTTATAAGGAGATGATTACTGTGCTGACGGGCAAAGAGTGATGACTCTGTTTACTGAGCCAACGGATATGATACTGATACTGATACAAGAATGAAAAACACTATAATAGCCAGGGCTTTTACTTGTTGAGAGTGATTACTGAAAAGTATGTATTTCATCATTGTTTTCATTACTGTACGGATTTATTGTTACTGTATGGATTTACTGTTACTGTACGATTTCACTGTTATAACATTACTATTCATGTCACTGGATTGTTATTGATACTGATTCAGGCACTGCTACTACTAATTCACTGTACTGATATTATGCATGTGATACACTGAGAAAGTGTTAATGAGCAACTGAATTGCATCTGATTCACTGAGCACGTGATATAGAATAACTGAATTGTAAGTGTACGTTTTGATACGATTCTACTGCATTGATTTGAGTTCAACAATCACAAACGATAGCATTGATTCGACACTTTATATGATTTTTATACGGACTGACATTATTGACCCGATAATTTCTCCTTATACCGACTGATGTGATTGATCCGATGATTTCTGTATTGATTTGACTGATGTTATAGATATGATGATTCCTTTAGAGATTTGACATACGTACTGATTTATCGAGCCTTATAAGTTTAATATTATTTACTAATTCTTATACTATCATTTATGGATCTTACTATTTATGCATTAATTTCTATTTCTGTATTGATTCAATGATCATGTGTAAGAGACTGTCATGATTTGATTGATTGATATGCATATTGCTTCCGTACTGTGCTTTAATTTTAGTTGTAGGTATTTAATGACCTGTTGGGCATTTTAAGCTCATTATATGTGGTTAATAATTTCAGGTCAGGGTAAGGGAGCAGGAGTGTGAGATTGATCAGGAATATTCAAGTTTTTTTTATTCTTTTGGTCATGGCTATTCTTTTATACTCATGACTGGATAGAAAATGAGAGATATTTGGAAAGTTCCTGAGTAATGTAAATGAACTTTTGGGAATGAATAGAAATATTTACATGATGTTTTAAAATTATAAATTTTTGTTAGATTGTTTTTCACTGATTGAAGACTATAGATAGCTCTAGTAGAAAACTGATTTAAAGGATTGACTGAATAATTGTTCCAAGTTAGATATTGGGGCGTGACACTGGAATTCCTGTTGTGTTCTATTTTCCTGCTAGCTCGCACACCTCCATGCCTTGGAATTCCTTTAAATAATATATTTTGTAATTAAAATTTAAAATAGAACCTGTATAGTGTAGACATCAAGATTTTAGCTTTTTATTTCTTAGAAAATCTTGCCGTTGTGTTCTGTTTTCCTGCTAGCTTGCTATCCCAAAACATGAACGGTGAACCTGAAAGTGTTGAAGCATTGAGAATTTAGGAACATGCAATTAAAAAGATTAGTTCCAAATTGCTAATTATGAAGTATTTGAGATTTACTGTAGAACATGAGTGTAAATTTGACTGTACAAGGATATGAGATTTGCTTATTGTTTCAATGATGTAGCAAGCCTTTTTAGTTGAATCATCTGGTTTGTATGTCCCTGAAGATGACGTGGATAAATCTAGGAGATGACTTTTAGATTTTTTTGCATATTTATGTTTGAATTTTGAAGTTTGAGTTGATATGAAATTATGAACATTTTCTTTGCTGCAAAAGCTATGCATTTGTTTATGTTTTATTCACTAAATTGATGTGACACATATTATGTGTTATTTGTTTATGTTTCATAAACTCAATTGATGTCATGTTTATGTTATTTGAATTAGGGATTATGAAAATAGAATGTAAATGAAGGTATTATAAGAAAATTTAACATTTATTTTATTTTTTTAATAATATTATTATTTATTACATCATCCGGTTCGACCCCGGTTCGACCGGTCAAACCGTAAACCTCTCATTCTTCCAATTTTTTGTCCGGTCCAATTTTCAAAAGCTTGCTCCCCACAATTAATAATCTAAGATCATAAATCTTAATTAACCCCAAATTAATCTCCCTACAATTAAACATAAAAATCGATAATAACATGATCATTTTATAATTTAATTATTTAAAAATTTTAAACTTTATAAAAAATTAAAAAACAAAACCATAATTATCTATTTTCATTAAAATTTAAAACTTTAATTATGTTTGGTAATTGGATTATATATTTATATTATTATAATCAAATGTATAATTAATCTAGTTTTATTAAATCTCGCTATTGACATGAACTTAAAAAGACAACTTATTTAAAAGAAAACTTATCAGTTTGAATAAGATTTAAAACCAAATAATGTTTAATTTATATATATATATATATATTAGCTAAACTAAGTGATAGGAGTAGTAAGGATTTAGTTCAAGAATAATGAAGATCAAAAAGTAC